GACCAATTATAATCGAATATGAAAAGAATACTCGACTATGATTAGTCAATTTCTTACGGCTTAAAGATTAAATACTTATTGTGGACCGACACTAATCTATTAATTTATGCCGTAACCGTAAAATTGACCAATCACGATCGAATTATAGAAGAATAATCGATTATAATTCGTCAATTTTTTACGGTTACAGCATAGGTTAATAGATTGTGGCCTTCATAAAGCGGCGTCTACAATGAGACTTTAAGACGTAAGACTTAAGAAATTGGCCAATCATAATCGATTTATACAAGAATAAATTTCACAATATACAGCACAGTTATACTGTAACTTGTTAAGCATAAGAAATGAAAATAATTCATTTAAGTAGATTCTTATAACCAGCTTACAGCCTTATAGCCTTATGTTATGTCATTGTAGATTAGGCTTAAAACAGTATCTACAATGAGATTTTAAGGCGTAAGGCCGACTGTACACAAGACGTGCAACACGACATGCGCGACAACGCGGCAACGCGTTGATAGGTCAATTTCTTACGGCTTAAAGATTAATTTTTGTATTGTAAAGATTAATTTACCTATTGTGGACCGAGACTAAGAGTCGGTCCACAATAAATATTTAATCTTTAAACCGTAAGAAATTGACCAATCATAGTCGATTATTCTTTTCATATTCGATTATAATTGGTCAATTTCTTATTTCTTAAAGCTTAAATCACTTATTAGTGTCGGTCCACAATAAGTATTTAATTTTTAAGTCGTAAGAAATTGACCAATCATAGTCGATTATTCTTTTCATATTCGATTATAATCGGTCAATTTCTTACTTCTTAAAACTTAAATCATCTATTGTGAACCGACACTTATGGACCGACACTAAAAGGCATATGTGCTCATTTTGTTATAGTATACGTGACATGAATTATAGATAAATGTGCTCATTGCGCTTTTCGGAATCAGCTCTTATTGTAAATGCTGTTTATTGCAGAAAGTTCAACCATAAAGAACAAACTTTTACAATAAAGGAATAGAAAAATTTATTATACCAACATCACGATTGATCTTCAATATTGTTCAAGAGTCAGAATGAGATAGTGACAGTAGTGACACATAAAAAATTGTCTGACCTCTAATTATTCTGTCGTCTCATCAGTTTACGTCACTGTTTAGCGGTGTTTGTCTTCGTGTGGTTGAACATTTTGCGTATTTAACCATGGCATTATCGAGAATTGGCAATATAGAAATGCTGAACACTTTAACTCGTGTCTCGCGCGCAGGTACAAATTATTATTTCCAATTATGCACTATTATTTCGCTTCTTGTTTTATTTGGATTACCTGTAACATTACAGAGATTTCATCGAAATGTACTGCAGGTTTTTTGCGATTAGAGATGTAAACGTCGAAAATGATGGAAATGACAAAGTGCAATATAGTTTTTTATGTTTTATTATTTGTTACAATTATTTCAAAAAGAGTTAGAAATTTTTTAAAAATTCATATATTTTAGACTATTTCGCAGCATTCATAATAATTGTATATAATTGAAATTAATTATCTTCTTTTCAAATTTATCCTTTCTTTCAAGTCCACAAAATTTTAATACTAACATATTTATCTCCACAATGGAAATTGCTGATTCTTTTTTATAATATCAATAATATTATTCATTCAATCTATATTGTAGCATTTCACATTCAATTTTTTTATCACTGTATGTACATATTTATAAGGAATTTGTGATTTTTAAGAAATTTATATATTTATAACTTTTAATAGCTTTATTAGAATTTTATCATTTATGACTTTTATTTATCTCTTATCTTTATACTTTACAAAATAATGTAAAATGGCTATGACATTCTTACTTTTGCAATAATCTTTATATTAACATAAATACAATTTAAAAAAAGTATATTGTTTCATATCTTCATTTCAATTTCATTATATCTGCTTACAAATCAAACAACTTTACTAAATAATTAACTTTGCTAATATTCTCACTAATTGATTTTTATTTATCATATAATTATATTTATAAACAAAAACGTCTTTTATCTTCTATTATTTTTCTTTTATATTTTGTCTTTGAAAGATATATTTTGAAAATATTTGAATTAAAGAAAAAATGAATCTAGCTTATTTATCATTTAAAGGATAAGATTTATTTACAAACTCATTTGTTAATAAGCTTTATCCTTTAAATTAACAGATTTCATACCGAAACAATATTATGCTTTATTTTTTTTACATCTATGTTTCTTATAAGACAAAATAATAATAAATCTGTATAATAAGTTACTAATATTACAATATATATATATAGTAATTATAGTATTTTTTAAATTTTAGCATTCCTAGAAATGCAATGTGCAACTCCAGCAGCAGTTCACTGGAAGCAACAGCCACTGCATTTGACCAGTGTACGTTACTATCCAGATCCGCCAACTCTTACTCTGCCGAGCAACGTCTGCGATATCTTCGCCAATGAGACTGGTCGCTTTACGCCAGAACGCGCACGCGACATTGCCTTGTATGCCGAGAACGGCGGTACTGCGGCATCCATGGCAAAGTGTTCCGGATTCCCTGAGATCCGCGACGATGGCCACGTGGACTCGTATGATTGTTTCGGCGCGGTCAGCTTGAATGGCACAATGCAGAGCAACGTGCCAAAGCCTTTCTCCTCACATGGCAAATCCATGCATCTCAATATGCCCGGTGGACAGTGGTCTCGCGATGGCAAGTACATCGCCGAGGACATGCAGCGCTCCCATTACCGCAAGTTGTCGTGTAAGAACGAGAACCTTTGAATGGATTCTGGAGGGTAGAGGTGCTTTCTTCTTTTTCGCTTTTCTGCGATTTCTCTTATGTTCCTACTTTGAATACTAGAAGATGGAGCAATATTTAGTCTCGAGGATCTAAATGTTGAAAGATGTTTCAATCAATAACGAATATTCCAAATTAACTGAATACTAATATTAATAAAAAAATTGATTGAAAATGAATTAATTGATCAAATTAAATTGTATAATAATTTTATACAATATATTATAATAATTATAATAATTTTACTTAATTTCATGAAGCAAAATATTTTGCATACGATAATGCATAAAAATCTAATAATTTACATAATTTACTAGGATTTAAAAACTAATATTTTAAAAATTTATAATACTTTTATGACAATCTAATATTCACAAAAATTCACACAAGGAGATTTCATTATCTTTCTATATTAATAATCGCGTCAACGCGCGTAATCAATATTGAACAATCAAAGTTGAAGATTTTTATACCCTTGAGGATTAACAGATTCTTAAATTTTTGGTAAATAGTCTCAAGGTAAACAAGAGATGGACAAGTTTTTGTGGCCATCCGATACTAAAAATTTATGTTGGGCAATTATGTGTCGCTCAGGTACTACAACTAATGCCTTCATAACGCGTCCGCTTTTACAAGCGACATACCAGCCATACTATACCATCAGAATGAGCTACTCGACTGACATCCCCAAGAAGGACCAGGTGGTGGTGCCGGTGTCTGCGACGATGTCGCAACGGGACAGATTTCGTCTAATGTTGAGAGATTATGGAGGCACTCTGCTCGCCTTTCATATTACTATATCACTGATAAGTCTTGGTGGTTGTTACATGGTGGTTATTAGGTCAGTCATGCATTTTTCGGGATTTGTTTAAAAACCTTTTTTCTTTACATTTTCAAAATATTTGATTATTTTGAGATGCACTCAGCTTTGGATATATAACCAGCTTTTATGGTTTGGCTTTTAACATAGATTTTTTGTTTTAGATTTGTTGATTTTAATTTTTCAAAATATGACACCTTTCAAAATAAAATAAGGGGAGAAAAGAGAAGAAAACATTTCAGTTTTATTGTATTATTAATAAACATTTTTAAATTGTTATTTACATAATTTTACTGTCTATTCTGAGATGTCTATAAAGAATCCATCGCCTCTTCTTGTTCAATAAGTCGAATTCTTGATTTCAGTGGGATCGATGTAACGCCGTTTATACAAAACTGGGTTGGCGAAAACGAGCAATTAGAAAACCTGATGAAAGTCTCCACGGATTTCATAATAGCGTACACAGTTCACAAATTGCTCGCACCGATTCGAATAGGAATATCACTGACCGTGACTCCAATAATTGTAAGACGCTTGAGAAAGATGGGCTTTCTTAAGTTGCCAAAAGCGAAATCACTACCGCCGACATCTCCATAAAAATCGGAGACAATCATTTCTTTTATAAAATATTTCATCATTGTATTTCATTTGAAAATGATTAAAGTAAAAACGAAATACAATACAGCGGTAGTACTGTGGAAAGAAAGTATAAAAAAATAGTGATATTTTTCGAATAAAATATTTTTTTGTAAATGAGAGCATATTATAATGTCGATTTGTGTATTTTGTATAATTTGAATAAATCGAGTTTTGATACTTTGACATTAGATAAATTAATACATATATATTAGACAAGATGTTTATCTTCTTTTGTAACTTCAATTTAAAAACTTCAAATTAGTCTCAAATTCAAGTTAATGTAACTATATTCGTATTATGTGGGAGGTCTAGGTTTGTATATTTATATTTCTGTGTTATCGATTTTGTAAAGAAATTATCTGTAAATAAACATTTACATGCAAGTAAAATGAATCAGCTTTACGTATATCCTTTCGTTTATTATATAAAGAATATAGTGTAATCATAAAATTTACATAATTTTATAATATCTTATGTATGACGAAGTCGTATGTCTCGCGCGTGACACGATATATAATAATCACGCGTGTCGCATTCGCAGCACATAATTTTCATACGCAAAAAAGCTCGGCAATTTTGGTTGAACAAATTTGCAGTTTGTTCGCATAAGTTTTGATCGTGCATGACACGATCGATATATATATGTACAAAAGTCTTTAAAAATATATTATAATACATAGAATAGAATTAAAAAATGTATATAATTATATATACAATTGGTGTGAACCTAAAGTAGCACACTTCTTACGAATTAATCTACAAGTTAATCTCGTTGAGACTCCGCTGAAATGTCCTCGACGTTTGACATTACTGTCTGTACGTTAATAACAATAAATTCGTCGCGAAAAAGGATCCTTAATGAATATGTAGAAAGAAAAAACCATAGGCTGATAGAAGCCATCAAAGTCTTGATTTGAGTATTAATTGAGTATTTTTTTATGTCCCTCAATGCTCTATTAAGCGTAATAGATTTCCAATTCTCTATTAATATCAAACTGAGAAGATTCGGCGATATAAAACATAATTCATGATTGTTAAGATGTTCAGATTTTTAATCCTATTAACGAATTCGATTGGACGCATTAATATGTACTGATGTAAAATTATAGTTTGTCTTATATTTTATTTTATTTAGAGTAAGTTCAGGTTATCCTTGTTTAATATTTAGTGAAAAACAAGGATAAAATGACACATAGTGACATTCAAACGGGGAATCTGAATGTACCTTTAGATATAAAAGCAAAACGCAAACACTTCGACTAACGAAACATTTAAACTGCTTTCTATGGTAGAGCAACATAATAATTTATGTTTATACGATAGTTTTTAGCGCATGTCAATATGCGTTAGTACATCCAAAAAAATTGCTATTAAAATTTTTAATCCTTAGATCGGATCCTTAGAACCGATAGCTGCTTTAAAAACTTTGAACACTTGAGTTATCTGAAGATTTGAGCATTTTCAACTTAAACTTAGAGACTTGAGTCATTTATAAAAAGAGTCGAGATTACGCTATTGAAAAAAGGAAATTAATATTATCTAATAATACTTTCAAATTGATCAACATTCAGTACAAATACTTTACAAAGTTGTAAATCATCCATAGAAACATGAAAAATAAAAGAACTTATTTGGCACAGCGACGAATATGATGTACGGTTTTAATTATTCATAACTAAAAATGTAATGCGAAGCGTCATTACAACTTTGATTCAGATCTCTATTTGCTTATAAACTACTTTTTCAAAAACTAAAAGAAATAAATGTACAATATATAAATATTTCGAAAAGTATAATAAAAAAACTTTGTCAAACGATAAATTAACATCTTTGTTATAAAATTTAATTATTTTCTAATTTTAATAAAAAATGATGCTTTTTGGTTAAGATTTGAAGTTGATGTCAAAGATTGGAACGTGATATTAAAAAGTCCGGAAAATCCATATTAATGATCGTGCGATTATCTTACGTGGTAAATTTATGCATTTTTAGCATAATTATAAAAGTCACGATATTTCCAATAAGCAATATGTCAACAGATTGTCAGCAGATTTGATCAGAACATGTTAGCATCAACTTATGTTCTGCTGACAAATGCCTGCGGTAGTTTTGCAATTATGCTTAACACACTTTGTTCAGTCTCTGACAATCTGTTATCAAATTAAACAGATCCTACTTGATTTTTGCTGCCAAAAACATTAAGTTATATCAGTAGAAAATCCAGTTTCTACTGCTGATACAAATCCCAGATAATTCAATCTGCAGAGATAGATTTTGCATTATCATTTTTATGACAACACCAGATACTTTCCGATCAAACTCTGAAATTTGTTGTTTTACCATCAGAAATTGATGATAAACTCTGTTCAAAATTTATCTCTGCAAACTTAACTGAGACATTTTCCTTCAAAAAAATTCTTTTCATGAATTGCAATCATTAATCCTTAATTTCAATGCATGCACAACAATATAAGGGTAAGTTACAATCGTTCGGAAAATCATAGATTTACGAAATTCAAAAAACATAACGAAATCATGAAATGTTGAAAAAAAGTTTGTTTTTTTTATGTCTTAAATTCAATAATTTCAGCAATTATGATAATTATTTTGTTTAAGGCTCGGTTTTCTTGCGGTGCGATATGGGTAGTATGACGTCACAGGAGAGAAATAACACGTAAAAAGTTTTTTAAAGCGTCGTATAGCTTTATCTCGTACTTTTCCCTTAAAAACATGATATTTTCGTATTCTTAAAACTTGTAAAAAAGTCAGAAAATAAGATATCTGTCCAATAAATCATGTAAAAGTGTAAAATAATTCTTGAAATAATGGTCACTGCTCAGCTATTAGAAACAACTAGATCTAGTGATCTGATAATTATCGTCATAATTCAATATGACTGCAAAGAGACAACCGAGCCTTAAGTTTCTTGATATTAAAAATTATATTATATTTCCTGATATTAAAAAAAAAGGTATATAAACCTTCATGAGTAAAGCAGTTGTCTTAAACATAGGCCTCGGTACGATGACCTCGTATGTGATGGAAGAATTGTTGCCAACTGGTAAGCGTTTTTCTGGACCATACCCAGAAACTGCTGGTAATGCCGACGATCATAGCCATGAGATACTTGATCATGAATATTTCGAAATCTGGTCTGTGACCAAGATCGCGAGTTCGCTCGCCTACTGGACATGGCAATGAATAGAGTGACTGCGGACCTGGACGCGAGCACATCTCCATGTTCCATGTGAGCATCCACTGATCGAAGTAGGCTTGCTCGTAAAAGAGACAGGCGATCACGACCAGAGCAGGTACGATGTAGAGCACAGAAAAAATGCCGATGCGAATCATGAGTTTCTCGAGCTTGTCGGTTTTGGTGCCGTCGTGTTTCATCACTGTCCGAATGCGGAAGAGCGACACAAAGCCGGCCAGTAGGAACACGGTACCCAGCAAAAGATAGACGCACAACGGTGCCAGCACAAAACCTCGAAGAGCTTCCACGTTCCAAAGACCGACATAGCAAACCCCGGACAATATATCACCTATAAATTATAAAAAAAAATGTAATTTCTAGATTTAACATTTGTAACATAAACAATATAAAAATAAGAAACTTTTTCAATTTTGCTCTTAACTCTGAAAATAAACAAATTTGAAATGATGAAAGTATTTTTCATTTTGTAGTATGCTTAAGAAAGTATAACAAAATGATTTATGTCTACATCCTTGTGCTAAGTTTTATAATTTTTTTGTATAATTATTTTCTGTAATTATTTAATTTGCATAATTATTTACCTTCCACTTTTCCCATCGCCAAAATAGTGACGGTCTTTACGGCCGGTGCGGCCCAAGCAGCCAGATGAAAATACTGCGAATTGGTCTCAATTGCTTCATGCCCCCACTTCAATCCAGCTGCGAGGAACCATGTGAGAGTGAGGATAACCCACCAGATACTTGATGCCATACCAAAGAAGTAAAGGATCATGAAGAGTACGGTGCACAATTCATGTTTGGTACCCTGAGTAATTGTAGAGGTCATCTGTATCCGCATACCCATAGGAGGTGGGAAAGGTTCCCTGCATGATATGGAGTTGCCTGCTGCCCAACCGATCACATAAGCCAGTGCCACCATAAGGTAACACACAGACAAGAAAATAATAGGCCTTTCGGGATACCTGTGCCAGAAATAAATGTTTAAACTTGGAGAGATTTTGGTGCGTGTAAAATTAGTATATCATTTGATAAAAATCATAAATTATTAAGTTCTAGCTTTATTTTCAATAATTAAATAATTTTCAATAATTCAACATTAATTGCGCATCTACAAATTGATTTAATATTTGACATTTAACATTCCATTTAATAAAACTATTATCCTTTTTTATAATTTATAAAACTATTAATTACATAACAGATCTAATAACAGATCTTACAAAATATAAATTTGTTATTCAACGTTTGATATATATTCTATAAAAGTGATAATTCAATCTTAGAAAAAGAAAACTTTACCTAAATCTATCTGTATCGATGAGAAATGTGAGGAACGTGAAGAAGCATGAAGCGGCACAGATAGAGGCCCATGTGCCGACCCATACTCTTGAGAATTTTCTCTGTCTCTCAGTGAAAAACATCCCGTCGCAAGGCGCCCCACAATCGGGCTCCACTTTGTCTCCCACTTTCAGTGAATATCCTAATCCATGAGGAACTTTAAATTGGACTGGACAAACAAAGCCAAAATCTCTGGCACCCAAAGCAAAACCACTGCCACTACCGCCGTATGGTTTAAGCCCGTCATTCCAGGTTGGTTGAAACTCCGCCGGCATGCGAGCTGGGGGATAGAGGGGAGTGACCGGTTCCTGGGGCGTGGTGGTCTCGTTGGTACCTACGCAGAGCTCCGTGCCGCCGTTCTCTGGCATCTTGGCGCAGTCCAGGGCCTCCGGCCATGAGAAACCGAAGCTATTCATCAGAGCCTCGCAGCCGGAGCGCGCGCTCTCGCAGAGCGACCGACACGGCGGTATCGCCTTCTCGATGATGGTGCAAACGGGCGCATAGACGGTGCACAGGAAGAAGCGCAGGTCCGGACTGCATTTCATCTTGACAAGCGGCATGTATTGGTGTACCTCTTGGCCGGCGTCCTCCTGCTTTTGATGATTCATCAGGTTCGGCATGATCGTCTCGTTGTACGGGATGTTCATGCAGAGATTGATGGTGATGGGCTCGCAGCGGCCGTGATGAGCAAGGGGATCACCGCTGCCACCGCTGCCGCCGCCACTGCCGCCGTTCAGGGCGGTAGAGGAATGCAGAGCGGCGGTGACGATCACCACGCCGGACAGAAATGCACCGATCATCGCTGTCCGCAACATCTCTCGTCCTGACCTCCTCTCGAGGACGAGCGCGCACCTCTGGGACACTCACGAGCGAGACATGTCACGGGCGATACTTACACTCTGCGATACCCACGCGACAATGAGAGTGAAGGTAACGGGTGAAGAAGGTAGTAGTGATGATGGGGATGAAGGTAGTGGCGATGATAGTGATGATGATGATGATGATAATGATGATGATCAAGGGGATGGACGCGCTCGCGAAGTAGCGGTGTAAACAGTTATGGTAGCCATACGAATGTCTGGTGACAGCGGCGACGAGAGAGAGAGAGAATTATGGAGAATCCTCATCGAGCCATCCGATAGCCAATAGGAAGGCTCAATTCGTAGGGGCATTCTCAGATTTATCGTGTCGCGTTCACATGCCAGTCTATGAGAGAATCCGAAAGGACGTATCCGCGTTTCCTCTCTAAATTGCTTTAATCGTGGGAATCGAAATTTGGATTTAAATTCGCGAGATCGAGTTATATCACTGAAAAATTTCAACTATAAAATAATAAAATAGATATTTAAAACTTTTTACTGTAAAATAGTAAAATAAGCATTTTAAACTTTTTAATATAGACTAATATTAAAATACGTTTTTCTTGGCTAATAAAGATCTGCTCTTGCTAAGGAGACTTTTCTTCCCAGATAGCACAGATAGAATCTAAAAAGTAATTCTTGAAGATTTTCTTGAATCGGATTTCGATCCCTTAAGATCCCACATAGTCAATGAAATGATCGGGGATATAGCATCCTAAGCTTATACTCGAGCTTA